ATGACCTAGGCTTGAGAGCAAGCCTCTTGGGCTCTTAACTGACCACTCATCTATAGGCAGTGGAAAATCCCCTCAGTTGGTGCTTGTGAATCTGGTACTCCTAAGGAGAGAGGAAAGAGCTGACTTTAACCTGACTGGTTTCATGTGAAGGCTGTTTGTTGACCAGAGTGCCCATAGGAGACTGTTAATCTCTGATGGTCTCAGAACAAGCTTCTGAGCCAGGGACATTATTCTTGCATAGAAAAAAAGTGGAGTCTAGATGGGACCTTGCCTTTGTTCCCTTTGGATGGAACACCCCTTAAAAGAACTTGCGCTTCTGTTAGTGCAGGGGTGGGCAAAATGTGGCCCGGGGGCTGGATATGGCCCACCAGGTCACTCTATCCAGCCCTCGGGGCCCTTAAAAAATTTAGAAAATTAATATTTATCTGCCCCTGGATGCCTGTCAGCAGCCCTCGATGGGTTGCTAAAACTCAGTAAGTGGCCCTCCACCCAAAATAATTGTCCACCCCCATGTTAGTGCATCTCTCTGTCTCCAGATTGCCCCATCCTTGCATATGGCCATAGCAGAACCCTGCTGCTGCAGCAGCAGACTTCATTAAGTCAGTGCTAGTAATGGTGGCCTTTCTGAAGGAGAAACAAGCTAGAAAAGAACTTTATAAAGACTATAACCTGCACCCTTTTCTGAAGGGAGAGTGTGATCAACCTACTCTCGCCAGCCATAAAACAGCTGGCAGGACTAATTTTAGAAACTCCCACTTTGCAAGTATCATTCTTTAAAAATAGGCATTTGGGACTTGTGAGATCCTGTTAGAATTGCCAGAGATTGGATCAGGTTCTGGGGAGTGCCCTTTTCCAAGTAGCACAAGGATGCCTGTAGCTTGGGGTTTAGGGGTGTGTTGTCAGGGAACATAAGCTTACATGTTCTAAAAGTGTCGTTTCAATGAGGTGACGCAGGCCTGAACAGGCCCTAAACGAAGCCAGTAAGGGTCTGGACTTGCCTGAATTCTCATCACACTGTTTGAACTCCTAGTGTAGCTAGGAGACCTTTTTTATATGGAGAGTGCATCAGTTCAAGTCAAGGAGCACATGTGAAGATGCTCGTGCTGAGTTTCAAGAGTAGCTTGCTTAGGCCCAGCATAAGCCTTTCTCTAACTGGTTTAAACTGAACCAATGGCTTTGTCCACATCAGAAGCATTTTCCCAGCATAATAAAAGCTTAGTATGTTGGCAATGTGCAAAGGTTGTTGAAACCACAGTGGTGAAGCTGTAGTCTGTACAGCAAAACCACCCCGTAGACTAAGTACAGACAATCAAAAAGCCCGAGGCTGAATTGCTTCAGTTTTTGCAGATTAGTCTAAGCTGCAGAGATTCAACCAATAAGCAAATGAACAGACATTCACTTTTCATTCAGGAAATTCAGCCATATGCCTGCAGTGGCTCAAGCCAGAAGGGTGCTAGGACATGGCTCTCTGGCATGTAGCCTGCATGGGCTGTGTGTTCACTTTCTCTTCTTGATGCCTTTGAGGTTTCTGGGATTTGAATTCCACAATCACAGCAGCAGAACTCTGCAGGTTGCTTGTCACTCCCTCTTCCTGCTTCCAGGTGCTTCTGGGATTTGTAGTCCACAGTTGCAACCAGCACTAAGTAAGTGGGGTAGGGCAGCTCCGTACTTGGGGGAAGGGAAGTTTAACCCACCTCCCTGGTCCCAGACTAGGGTGGCCATTCATCTGGTTTTACAGAGGAAAGCCCAGTTTTCTGCTATTCTGTCCTCTGTCCTATTGATACGAAACCAGATGCCTTTATGTCAGACAGGTGGAAGTCTGTGGAGGAAAATAAAGGTGCCTGGTTTTGTAGGCACCAATAGGACAGAGTAGCAGAAAACCAGGCTGTCCTCTTTAAAACCAGCCAGGGCTTGTTGGGGGGAGGAGCAGTGAGCCAGCCCTCACTGCTTCAGCTAGGGAGAAGAGGGGTGGGGACAGCCCTCCTCTCTGGAGCCGACAGAGCAGCCCAGCCCAAAATGCTGAGATGCTGGGGACTCTGTTTTAACTTGAACCAGGAAGGGGTCTGGGACAGAAGTTTCATAAACCGGTTTGACCTAAATCAGTCAAGTCTGATACTATGTTCAACCAGGTTTATCTTAAACCAGTTTCGGCCACGTATGTGCACTGGCTGAACCAGTTTCAGCTATTTATGTGCAATAAACTTCTATTCTGTTACAGAGTTAAACCAGTTTCTGATCATTTAAACTGGTTTATGTGTAACTTCTGTCCTAAGCCATGCTTTGCCCTGGGATAAAATGGTTTATCCCAGGACAAAAGTGACATCTATTTGTAGCCAAAGAGGTTGGTCATGAATTGTCCTCTTCACACCCCAGAGTAACCTAGCTCCTGCTGTCAGAAGGAGTTAGGTTAAAGGCTAAAGTAAGCGCTCTTAAACTGAATTAAGAGCATTTATGTAAGGGTTGCTTTAGTTTAACTACACAGACCCAAGCTGTATAGACAATGCCAAAGCCTCAATTACTCCTTGCTTGTACTTGGGACTTAAAACTGATTATTCTCTGACAAGGAAACTCCTGTTGTAATGTAGAAGACCCCGCTCCAGTTAGCCCAGAGAAAGATAGGGCCATCAGCACAGAAAAAAACACCCTATACTTCCTCCCCTAGCAGACAGTCTCAATCACATAATTGTCCCAGAGCTGTGCAGCCCATTCCTGGATCACAAACGAGGATGCGGTGAGATGAGAGACATGCATTTTCAATGTCTAAAGGAAACCAGAAATAATCCTATTTAAAACATATTGTTTGCTCAAGAAAACAAACTTGTTAGCACAGGTGGAGGTTTTCCTTCCTAGAGTCTAAGAGGGAGACAAGGGGGGTGGGGGTGTGGAAAAACCCTGTCTTTGACCTTGTTTCTTCCAAGTTGTGAGTCAAGGACTAGATTTCCACAGCTACCATATATATAGATACAAATATATCTATAGATAGCTAGATATCTAGATATAGGTATCTATATATCTATCTATATCTATAGAAAGGACAGTGACTATATTCACCAATGCATAACAACAGTGAGAAGGATTTCAGTACAGTCCTATAGGGGAGCAATGGACAGACCACTTGCAAAATCTTGGCCTTCATGCCACAATAGGGGCTACATGGCAGGACCTCTGCCAACTTTGGTGGGTGCAACATTGAGCCTCATCAAAGCAAGAGACTCAGGGGAAATGCAAGGTTATGCTCACACTCACTGGGCTCTAGCCAAATGAATCATGTCACCTCACAAGAGCTTTTTTTTGTAATATGACAGAAGAAATGCAGCTGGTCAAAATATAAAAGCTATGTTCCCCAGTTCCACAGAAAGGTGACAGAGCTTGCAAACTAAACTCAACATCTGCTCAGTGCCACACCAGTCTTCTGAGCATATACATTCCCCAAAGAGTGACCTCTGTGCCCACAATGGGCATCAGTACATCCTCTCCTCCAAACAAAGCTATGCATGTGTAGCCCCTTGGATTTGCACGTACCCACTGGACTACACAAAATATATAGGTCGGTATTCGAGATATATTTCAACAAGAGGAAGAATGCTGAAAATATGTAACTGGGAACTGGGATGGAAGCATACCCCCACTAAGGCACCTTTCCTGCACCACTTACACATGTACTTAACTTCATGAAGATGGATTCATATGCTTGAATGCTTGTCAAGACAGGGCCTAAAGCCAGATTTTACAAACCTGAGTGCCTACACTTATATTCCTAAATCCACGTGTAAGTTCTTGAATAAGAGTGGCTTTGTTTTCTGATGTCCCCAGTTCTCAGCTGCTGAAGCTAGTAGATGCCGTGAATCTTCAAAACCACCAAAAGCAACTGTGCTTTATGGGCCTAACGTGATGGATCCAAGCCGGACTCATTTTCTCATGGTATATTTCCATGCATCTGATTTTAAAGGCAATGCAGGCATTTTAAACACATTAGCTGTTAACATGTGGCAAGAATACTGGCTTCTTGTCCCTGAAATTGCACAAGAACACATATCTGAATCTGTGTTACGGAAGAGGAAACCACTGGTTGCATTATAATAAGCTTCAAACTTTGCAGCCCTTCAGGAATTAAAAGAAACCAGCCTTGTTACCCAGGAATAGTTTTGATGAGAGAATTCCCACCATGGTTTCTGAACAACTTCACCATCAAACTAAATGCCTGATTATTTTACAAACTAATGTATGCATGCGTGACCGTCTTCATGTACTATTGGTATGTTTAACAGGATACAGCGGAGATGCAGGGCCTTGTCTTGGGTCCTTCTTTAATAGGTTTATTCCAGTTGCATGGACACATGAAAGAGGGATTTTCAATATGAGCAGCAGCCAAAATGAATGCATGGCAAATTAATTTAGTAAATGGCTTTATTCATTGGAGCTGAGCAGGATTCACTGCACTTGAAATAAAACTGAATCTCCTCCCCACTCCTCTTCTTTTTCCCTTCCATTGTCTTTTGCAGCACATGGCCAATCGACTGTGGGTTAGTTAAATTTCATGGGACTATGTGCAGTTAAGGGAGGGGGAAATGCAATGCAAACTAGCCATCGAACAAAAGCCTCTTGAAATAATTGATCCAAGCTTGGTATGAGTATATCCAAGAAGGGATTCTTCTTATAATTAACCATGATACGTAGGCAGAGCCATGGAGCATTCACCATCTGTTAGCTATTAAAAACACAAGTCTGGCAAGGAAAAAAAAAAGTGGTGGGGGGGGAGGGAGGAGGGACGAGAAGGAGAATACAGTAGACAAGGAATAAAAAGTTCCCAAAAGTAAACTGGAAAAGATTTCTCCACAATGATTTAGAATTGTAGTAGAGGTACTTATTTGTTGAAAGACATCAGATAGCCTTTTTTTTTTAAATTGTCTTTGTTTTGCTAAGCATATATTTAAGGAAAATAGAAGCAGCAAAACCAGGGGTAAAAGGTTTGATCCAAAATATTTTTCTGTCACCATTAGCAAAACCAAAACGAAACACATCAAGAGAAAGACAGCATTCAGACAGAAGCAGCACGACTGAATTGGCTAATTTTGGTAACTCGTTCAACAAGAAGCAAAAAAGTTTCTGCCTTAAGATTGCAGAAGTCCAAATCTGAGTATCAACTCCCAATGACCCTCTTCTCCGTAACAGCGAGACCCAGTAAATGATTCTCTGGCGGATGTGGATTCACTTCGTTTTGACTTCATCGCTGCACTAGAAAAACGGTTTCGCTCTCTTTCTCTCCCTGACTCCAAGAGGGAGAGAGAAAGGGAGAGAGAGGAAAGTGGAAACAAAGCCTCAGCTTGTATTTCACATGTTTTGGCAGCAGCGTGAATTCCCCAGTCCCAGTCTTGATGGGAATGACAGACGTTTTACCTTGTAGAAAAATCTTTGGGCTTTGCCTGGCGGTATAAAGAGGAGCCTTTGCCCATCTCAGCATGGAGCAGGATCCACTGGGGCACAGCCTCTCAGCACAATGAGACTTTCTGCATGCCCACGGACACGCGCGCGTACACCCCCTCCACTCCCAGCCCATGCCAAATACTAACCGTTACACCACTGAAATGGGTGCATCAATGAGTCCCAAAGGATGCCTCTTGCTAGGAAAAGGGAAATGAGGAGGAGGATCCTTCCTCTCGTCAGACACTCGAGGAGATGGGGAGCATAGCAGCACCCAGAAGAGCTTGCTCCCTCCCAGCAGCCGTCCAGGGAGCAGGAGGGATGGGCTTGGAGGTGACAACAGAAAAATCCCAGAGCAGATGATGCTGGAGGGGGGAAGGCTTGGGCAACTGGGGCCTCTTGGTTGCTCCAATTGCAAGGCACTAGCTGCTGCTCAGGGGTTGTTTCCTACTCCCTAGTACATTGTATAGGGCTCTGGGGCTGACAAGAAGCAACCTCCTCCATGAAACCCCACCCCTCCTGGCTTATTATCCACAGACACAGCCAATCCCAGGCTGAGCTGCCTGCCTCATTACTATGCTTTCTGTTTAAAGATTGAGTGTGATAGGCTGGTTTTGAAGTGCCTCTCCAGCCTATGCTTCTCAGGCAACAGGCAGTGTTTGCTTTGCTGCATATGTACTTAGCTAATACAACCCAAGTTGAAATTACTTTTTGAGAGCCTGGGAGCAAACTCAAACACAGTGCCGTTTGCTTTCCATGGGTGTAAGGGTCACCAAGGAGGCCTCTAAGAGTTAATGATTGCACATGCATTTTTTCACAGGGGGACTATATTAAAATAGCATCATGGAAGAAGCTGGATGGCTCTTATTCTCAGCGGTCTATGTGCAGGTTGTCAATATAATAGTGTGGATTCTTATACGGGGCTTTGGACCAACAGATCACTATGCCAGCTGTCCCTATGACACCAGCAGGAGGCAGGGATGGGAAATCCTGGCATTGGGTGTGACTGAAGGCTACGTAAATCAAACCAGAGGCAGAACCCATGAACCCAGGGCCCCTTCCCCTGAGCAGAGTCTATAAAAATGCACTCTGAATAGTTTTAGCAGCACGCTTAACTCTAAATGATGTATTCCCTCCCTCACATCCCAGAGGGCGTGTCTACACGAGACACTTACTGCACATTAACCTAATAATGTGGCACAGTATCGTGGTGGATAAAAACCATGCTAATAGCTTACCGTGCAGTGTTATTAGGCTAACGTGCAGCAAGCATCACAAAAAAACATGTGCCGGTGCTACCACACAGTAACTCTAGTTACTACACTTTTAGTTAGCGCTTTATTAAGCAAGGAACAGTAACTAAGGTGCATTAATGCACATGTAGACACACCCAGAAAGGATTCTTGTATTTTGTAGAGTTTGTATTTGCCATCCCTTGCTAGGCCGTTTGCAGTGTTTGAAGTCAGGACCGGTCAATAGGTCTGTACGCTTGCAGGGCATCTAGTGTACATAACCACGGTTGCAAAAGTGAGGAAGACAAAGTTTGAGAGGGCTACAGTGCTTCAGAGAATAAAGGAAACTGAGTGGTAGTAGATAGGAGGAAACTAATGGTTTAGTGTGGGGTTTCTCGTCCTTCCCACTCAAACAATGGGTTTATTAGAAAGAAGATGTGGGAATACATGGTCTACAGCTTTGGTTTAGCATGGCAGTTGCTCAGATGGGGAGTTCTTTGGAGCAGAGACTCTTTTTACATTATATGCTGTTACAGAGCCTAGTGCAGGGGGGCACGGGGTTGCTGCTCTGAGCCAGGCTTGTGGCAAACAACACCGTGTCTCCCCTGCTCTACGCACACAGACGAGGCCCTTCCACAGCACAGCAAGCCAAGTCGTGGGCTCTGTCAGTGATTTCAGCCTCTGGATTAATTTTCTGATCCTCACTCAAACAAGTTTCCCCTCGTGCTCCAAACCTCCCTGATCCCGGCTTTACCGAACAATGGCTGTGCCCTGAGTTGAAGGCCTGATTAGCACCCGGGCACACAATGGGAGCTGCGCAGCTGCAGGGCCCATAGCATGGGAGGTAAAACTACAAAATCAGATGGGGACATTTTAGGACAATCCCTTCCGCCTGCCCACGATGTTACCTAAGATCTGGCTGCAGGGGCCTCTGCCCAGCCCATTCCTTTTCCCGTTTCCCAGGACCTCCTAGGGCCCTGTTCGGCTGCAGAGCCACGTTCAATACTACCGAGAAGCCCTCTGTGCCCTGCCCAGCTCGAGCCCCATATTTTTTGTTACCCAGAAGCCCTGGGCTTGCTATTTGGAGTCAGTGCCATTGTCCTTTTCTGGACAGTTCCTTTATGCTGAATGTCTAGTGCCTATAATATAAGTCTTAGGGGCAGGAGATTTCCCTCCCTGTTAAATGCCTTTTAAAAATGGTTAGCCCCAATCCTGACCTTCTGCCCACTCTCCCACTGTCTCACACAACAGTGTCTCTTGTTGACAAAGGCTGACAGAAGCATTTCTCCTGGTCTCCCTGGAAGCAGGATAGGCACCTTGCCAGCCTGCTGCTTGCCTGGTGCTCAGGCCTGCCGAGACACTAAGCCAGGTGCACCGCGGCATCCCAGACAGTCTGGCTAGCATCCAAGCAGAGCAGATCGCCCTTCAAAGCGCTGTGAGTCCTCATTGCCACATGTTTATTAGATGCGAGCTCTTGATATACGGGGCTGCCCAAGCAGCCAACTGGTGTCAGGAAGTGGAAGAAGAATGGAGTTATATTAAGAGCGGCTGGACAATGAGTCCCAGAAGCACGGTGGTGCCAGTTGTGTGCAGCTAAATTTGATCTGAACTTTCTCCACGTACTTACTCTGGGGTGGGTGGGATGGTATTGTAGCCACTATTTATAGGCTCTTCCAGCAGTGTTTCAGTCCTGGGCCTTACAGCCTTTTACAAGAGCATCCACATCGCCCACTGAAGCTGTAGCTTGGGATGCTCCCTTCCTACCCTTCTTCTTCCTGCTTCCTGACCTTCTTGCCAGCTTTCCTACTCCTCCTGCCCCCCAGGGTTATGCGGCATGTGAGCTCCCCTTAGACTTCAGCGGGCCAAGGATATTCCAGGCTCTCAGTGGGAGCTCTGCAAACCAAGTGGTTTTCAGCCACAAGCTATTTCCAACCCAACCTCAGCCTGAGTCAGACCTCAGCAAACCCCATGAAACCATCCACATGCATCCTGATTTGTGGGGGTGGGGGCTAAACAGTGTCTTAAATCCAGACCCACATTTTGCAGCTTGATCCTATTTCTAGCTACAAGTTGAAATGGTAACCTCCTTCCCCTGGCACTCAGGAGGCCCAGAGGTGAATGAACAAGCTTCTGGCTTCCCGTATCTCTGGACCGAGTGCCCTGTGGTTAGAAAGGATCCACAAAGCTGGAAACTGAAGCTGCCTGGCCACCTAAAAACTGGTCCTCGAGCACCTTCTGGTGGTCAGTAGGAACACAGTGAGATGAGGTCACTTATAGGGACCAGGCTGGGAAACTTATGGGGAAAAAAGAGGAGGACTAAGAAGGGGCTACTTTTTGCCTGTCGGGTTTTTTCTCTTTTTCTCCAGATCTTAGGCTCACAGATGAGGGCTCTGTAAGCTCTTTGCTTACTCAGGTAGCCTGGCTCAGCCACTGGTTTCACATCAAACCAAGCAAGAGGTTCTCTGACAGGCCGACTCGCTATCCTAGCCCGAGCAAGGATCGGTTTCCCATAGGCAGGACAAGCACAACAGAGCCAGTGATTCCCTAGCGTGGGTGCTTTGAAGAGCAGCACAGACTCCCTTTATTCAGAAAACTTTCCCCCCAGCGCATGTGCCTTTTGCTCCTCACAGACTCCTGAATCTCTGTGCCTGCTGTGAGGGTGTGCACCAGAAACGAATGGGCTAGAGCAGGCCTCTTGGTGCAGAAAGGACTTCCCATCACTAGCAGGGAAGTTCATTTTTGCTGGCCCTGGTTTCACTGGCAGGGGCCCGACTTCTTTTGGCAGAGTGCAACTTCTCCATCTGGTGGTAGATGCTAAACATAACACCAGGTTCAGCCTTTCTCACTTCAACCGTACTTATGTTATGTACTGGCTGTACTGGGCTGGCTGCTCCCTGGCTTCTCCGTCCACGTAGCTCCGCTTTAGACAGCGGGCTTAGCCCTTTATCTTAGGGGCAAACATGGATTTCTCGTGGGAACCGAATGAATCTCAGGGCCGTGTTGCACCTTACACTGCAGGCGGCACAAACATTGACTGATGTTACTGCTAGCTTAGAGTTTGGAGTTGTCACACCCTTAGTCTAGAACAGCGGGTCTCAATTCAACTTTTTTTTGTATCAGGACTCATTTGTAAACATTGATGACCAGTCCTGGCCCAGTGCCCCTCAATCCTGGCCTGCTGCTCCCAGCTCCCCAGTGTATGGAGCAGTGTATGGACCCCTTGTGTGGGCCTGGGGGGGTCCCAAGCAGCCCCTTGGAGGCCGGAGCTCTGCCAGCCTTCAAGGGAAACCCCACGGTTTCCCATGTTTTTCTCCTTTCAAAGGAAAAGCCATTTTTTAAAAAAGTTTGTTGATCCATATTTAAAGTCTGTTCACAACCCTTTCATGCGTTCTCATGACCCACTTTTGAATCATGACCCATGGGTTGAGAAACACTGATGTAAAAGCCTTCTCTGACAGTCCCCAACCTGCACAGCTCTGACTTGTCACTGGAGGCCTGGGCTAGGGACAGAAGTTGCACATAAACCAGTTTAAGTGATCAGAAACTGGTTTCAACCTGTAACAGAACAGAAGTTCAGTGCACATAACCCCATTTCAAAATGGCTGAAACTGGTTTGAGATGAACCTGGTTGAATGTAGCATCCGACTTACCTGATTTATGTCAAACCAGTTTAATGAAACTTCTGTTCCAGACCTTGGTGAGCAGTGGCAGGACTAGGAGATGTACCTCTGAGTTTCCCCTACAGGGCTGGTGACCCAGGACAGGCTTCTACTCCTGCTCTACTGGTGGGGGTGTGAGAGGTCCTGGGATACTAGAGGACTTCAACTTGAGCAGCACATCCGTGGGAAGCGACCACATACTAATGGAACAGGAGCTGGGTACTGCGGATCAGAGATAATCCTGCCCTGCAGTGGCTTAATTTTGAGCCACATAACGAGTGCTTAAAACCGCTTTAAGGTATTAAAGTGCAGACAATCCAGAGGCTAAGAGCTCAAGTTGCTGCCCCAAATTACCACGTAACGAGGCCCTCAGACATGTTCCCGCATGGATGGCAAGTCCTGCCCTAATGAAGTGCTTGGCGCAGAACACAAGGAATGTTCTTCAGTTCGGTGCTGCCCTCTCGTGGCCAGTGTCTCTGGCTCCCTGAGCCCTGCTTGTGCAATGGTTGTAATAATGAATGCTGCTAGTAGCAAGGCCTCTGGAAACATGGCAGGAGCAAAGCTGGGCTGGATCCCTACGTGGGAGAGCACTGGGAGCCACTCGTTCCAAGTGGAGAAATCCCTGCAGCTTGGCGGCTTCCCAGCTTGCTTTCTTACCCTTCTCCATATGATCCAATGTATGTTCTGCTACAGGTCTGTGCCTGAGTGGGAGCTAAGACTCTCCCTGCTCTTCTCAGGACTCCTCCAAACTCTTCTGATTCTGATAGATCCCCATGGGGATGTGTAAATGAGAGTCCTGCCTTGAGAGCTTCCTGCTACTGCTCACTGGGGCGCCTGCAAATTGCCTTGCTCACCCCAAATTGGAGACTAGACTCTAGCGAAGGGTCCAGGGCTGCTTGGATAAATATTGACTTCCTGCCCTATCCTCCCCTGGCCATTTCAGTGTAGGCCTGACCGACCACAGGCCGTGGATCATGGGTGCACCGTGGTTTTATGAGATCCTGAACCAGTGCTGCAGCTTGTACAGCCTGCAGAGCGCAGGTCCCATGACCATGAGCAACCACAAGAAGATCCAGGAGACGGTGAGGCTGAGGGACACCACATCGCTCGTGGACCTGCTCCCGGGTGACACATGCCAGGCCATATGGGAGCCCATCAACCACAAGGACTTGGGCAAAGACCACAAGGACCTGAACTGGCTCATAGCCCACCGAGCCCTGCCAGTGAGGTCCCGGAGACGCAGAGAGGGTCAGCTGGGGAGACCCAGCTGCCCATGGCTCAACTGCCACGGAGCCACCAAGACGATCGACCACCTCCTCTGGCTCTGTACCTGCGCCAAAGAGGTATGCAAAAGGGTGAAGCAGCTCTGCGAAGCAGTGACCAGTGGCAACTGGCTAACCAGAGAATCGGCACTGCGTGGGCACCCACAGAGACATGTGGCATAGGATCTTCCAACTTCTCGCTAGCAGAGAAGGGGGTGGTGACAGCAAGGAAGAGACAAGTTGAACTGAGGACAGCGACAGCAGCAGTAGATCCTTGCGACAGCAACATGGACAGCAAGTGAACTGAGTATGTGACCTCGCAAGCAGGGTGGGGAGGAAAAAAAAGGGTGGCCTGGTCTGAGAAACCAGAAGTTGTTTGTGCGTGTAGAGCACGACATGGATATTGTAACGGGTCCAGGTGGCCAGCGAGCCTTTGCACAGGTACATGGGCTGTGCGGATGTGGTTTTTGTAATGGATTAAGGTTTTTTTTGTGGAGTGATACTCAGAGTGTAGATATATATGACCTCATATATATACAGACATATATTTTTACAAAAAAAAAAAATGCTCAAGATCCTGGTCTCTTGAGAGCTCAGATCAAGTGTAGTGGCCTCTTACCCTGGCAAGGGAAATACCATGTATCTGTGTCCAAGAAGACAGTTTTCCTGAACCACCTCACAGGAGAACTGCTCTTCTGGTGTAGTTCAGCACACACCAAGGTGCAGCGGCTTTAAGTCCAATGTGTAGAAATGGGAGTCTCCTCCCTTGCCGGCTCCGAGGGCCTTATGGCTAAGGGCAAGCAAAACTCGGGGGCATCCAAACCCCAAGCCCAGAGGCTAGAGCCTGCAAGTAGGATGCCCGCCAAAGGTTTTGAAAACATCTGAAGCCCCTGGTGCGGGTGGAGGATGTTTGCCGGTAGTAGGGCCACTTATGGTTCTGGACTCGTGAATTTGGAATTAGTTTTGCTTGATTTGGCCTCGATACAAATTGAAAAAAAAAAAAAAGCTCAAGATCCTGGCAGGGGAAACACCACGTATCAGGGCCCATGAAGGCAGTTTTCCTTAAGCGTGCCCGGGGATAACTGCTCTTCTGACGTGGTTTTGTACCCACCAAGCTTTTGGGGCTTTAAGCCCATTTGATGGAAATGGGAGGCTCCTCCCTAGCTTACTCCTGTGGCCATATGGCTGAGGGCAAGCAAAACTTGGGGGCATCTGCACCTGCGGGTAGGATGCCTGCCAAAGACCTTGGAAACATCTGAAGCTTCAGGTGCGGGTGGAGGATGTTTGCTGGTTGTAGGGCCACTTATGGTTCTGGACTGATTCATGGATTTGGACTTGATTTGGCTGATTTGGCTTGGAACAGGAAAAATTTCTGTTAAAAAAAAAAAAAAAAAAAAGCTTATTCACCTGGCAGAGGGACACTTGGCACAGGCTCTTTCAAGACCCCCCAGTGGGGAAACGGACAGCGATAGTGAAGAGGATGGCGAGACAATAGGATCAGAAAACAGGCATGAGGACAGCAGCAGCAACAGCAGCAGCAGGTCTTCCAGTGGAAGCAAAAGTGAATGAACTGAGTTTTAAGCCCCGTATTCAGGGACAGGACTAAGAGACAAGGGGTTTTGTGAGGGAGATGATGCCTTGTGGACGGGTGCATGGGGGTGCCATTTCACGGGTGCATATATTGTAAAGGGTGTGCTTGTTTCTATGGTGGGTTAAGGAGGCAATGATATGGATATGGATATGGATATGTCTTAGCTCCTCAAGGTATAGGTCTGTGTTTAGCCCTGTAGTGCTTTGTGTTTAGTCCCACAGTCCCTGGCTCCTTCTCTCCAGCAGCTTCTGAATGATGGCGCCCATGCCTTAGTGAGAAGAAAGGCTGGCTGGGCCATTTGGTAGCATGATTCAAAGCCTCCACCATCAAGATAAACGGAAACAAATGCCCTCCTCCCCTCTCACCCACCCCTGTAGGGTGGTGGCTTTAATACAGATGCATTTTGCTTCCTTTTCATTAAGTTGACCTCAAAGGGCCTGGGAGAGGATCATAAATTGCTGGCCAGACCCTCCCGAGCCCTGCATCATCATTGTTGCTGCGACATGGGACACGGAGTTCCCTCATTTCAGCCCTAAGAGAAGTGACCACTAAATACTCACAATCGGGAACCCACCTCCATCTCTCAGTCTGGACCAAGATGCTCTAGCCAAGAAGGGACAGCTAGACTTTCCATTTCCCTTGCAGTATTTTTATTCTTACAGGTAAATGTTTGACATCAAGGACTTTCAAACTCTACAATAGAGGGTCTGTTCCCCAGGCCATACCCAGGTCACAGAGACATGGACACACAGCTCGGGTCTGCCAGGAACAAAGAAAGGGCAAGGCCAGCTGGGTGAATGGGTCTGCCGGCTAGGAGGACCAACCCTTGAGGGCTTCCCTGAGCCATCAGGGAGTGAGAGCAGCCTGAGACATGGGACTGAGTCTCATCAGCTGCACCTCTGAGGTTAGAAGGCTTGTGGGGGGGAGGCTGCATATTAGGCCATTGCAACTGCAACTAGGGGAGCAGAGATCTGTTTGATCACTTGCCATAGCTGAGGCTCCTGGAGGACCCCAGGCAACTGGATGGACTTTGGGGGCGGGGGGGGGTCCCTTGCTGCACTTTAACCCCTGAGTGCCTGCACTGTGATGAAAGTCCTGCACCAGCTGCTCATGTGACAGCAAGTTTCTGCTGAATGTCATCCACTGTGCAGCACCCCCTCACACCCTCCGCTTCAGCCTCAGAGAGTTATCCAGGGTGACCAGCTGGCGTAGGAAGCCCCGGTTGGGGATGATGCCACGGTGGTCCTTGACAGTCTTTATGGCTTCCACCAGGGTCATGTGATGGCGGATCATGAGGTAGGCGAGGACCAAGGTGGCCGACCTGCTCACCCCAACGGCACAGTGCACAAGGATCTTTCCTGCGGAGAGAAGAGTGGCAACATCATAGCAGGATTTGGGTCTCTAAAGGGAACCTAGGAAAGTGCCCTAGTGCAGTACTGATGAGACAGTCCAATCTTAGTTAGGATACAGGACATGGGACAAGGTGGCAGAGCCAGGTGGAAAATGGAGGAGCAGGAGGGGAATCCAGGGAAAGTTCATCCCAACATTGACAACCAAAATGTTTTGCTTCAGAAATGATGCCTTGTGGGAACTATAGTTCAGGGGCTTTGTGCTTTCTTTCTCGTCTTTGGGATGAATGCACTGCTCAGACAATATCTCCAGTGACCCAGGAGGGTCCATCCACTTGGTAAGAGTCAGTGCATCATGGAAAAGGAAGCCTGCTTCCTCTTGCATGAGTCTCTTTCCTCTTCCACTCAGCAGAAACCTGCTGTCACATGAGTAGCAGGAGCAGGGCTTTCATCACGGAGCAGGCACTCAGCAGTTAGGAGACAAAGTGCAGCAAGAGAAAGTCTCCTTCCTATCCCTTCCCTGGCTCTTCTGAAGCAAAACATGCTGCAGTGGGTTACCCAGAAAGGTGGTGGATTCTCCATCCTTGGAGGTTTTTAAGGCCCGGCACGACAAAGCCCTGACCAGGATGATCTGGTTGGGACTGGGCCTGCTTTGAGCATGGGGTTGGACTAGATGTGGCCTCCTGAGATCCCTTCCAACCCTCACTTTCCATGTTTCTATGATTCAAAGTCCACCATGGGGTCATAGTCCCTAGAGGAAGAAGGGGCCTAGGACAATGACATCCCAGTTCCCACAGCAGCCTACAGCAGCTTTCTCAATCCAAACACACACACATGGATATGTATGTGTGTGTGTGATATATATATACATACACACACATGGCCAGGATATTTTGTTTTCAGGGCACTTGAATTTTCAGTGAAAAATCTACATTTCCCAGGGGAAATGAAAAATTAGTTGAAAAGCCAATTTTCCATTGAAAAGCAGTGCTAATGAACATTTTTCACCTAGCCCTATTCCACAGCTCCTGTGAACCAGACTCAGTTCTGCTTACTCAGGGAAAGAAACCACAGACACCTCTGTTCCTGACTCTCCATACCCCGGGACCTTGACAGTGGGTCAAGTCCCACTATCAGCTGGAGCAGACCATGGCTTTTTGCTAATATGTGCCTGCCACCTTGCACACCCCTTGGAGGGGTCAGATAACAGTCCAGAACAGGGGTCTGGGTGCCCTCCCAAGGTGGGGGACAGTGATCTGGATGCACCACCACACTAGTTAACCTTGATGGAGTTGAGTCTATAGGAGGCCAGATATGAAACCGGGGAGTCATTGCTCTGTTCCAGCTCCCTGGGGTTGAGGAAACGGGATCAAAGAGGTAATAAGGACTTTGAACACTGCCTCCTCTCCCTCCTGGACAAGGTCCTTCCCTGGCTCATCTCCACCCCTCACCTCTCTCGCTCAATGCCTGGTGGATGAAGTCAGCAGCGGGGTAGAAGTGGGGGCTCATGTCGAAGGTGGGCGAGTCGTGGGCCTCAATGCCCAGGTAGCGGATGCCGGTGCCCTCATAGTACTCGGCACCCCCCCTCCACTTGCTGTGCGAGGCATTGAGGATGTGGGTGATCCGCAGGTGAGCCAGCTCACGCCGATTGGCTGCTATATCCCTGTAGGCAGAGAAGAGATGGCAAAGGGTTAAAACAGGGTCCTTGGCGGTGGGGGTTCATGGAGGCTCCACAACACTCGGCATGGAGCAAAGCTTGTTTGGAAGTGGCTTGTGCAAGCACCATCAGCTAGAAGAGGCAGTGAGGGTATAGGTCAGAGTGGCCTGCCGCATATTTTTGGCTGGGCGTCCAGAAGGGGATGGAGTTACCTTGGGGACAATTAACATTAGGTAAATTAAGCTGTCTCCACTTGGCAACCCCATGTGATTTTAGCCTGGGTTCCTCAGGTAACTCTTTTAATCCTAATCCACAGCCCCCCACTACTCTCCCATTGCTGGGCTCCCCATGCCACTCAGCCAATGCCCGGTGACCCCAACCTACTGCCCCCTGCTATTTCAGTTGTGGGCTCCCACACCCCCAGGACCTGTCAGGATCCATCCATATGATACAAGAAAGAGTCTCCTTGGGGTTGTACGTACTGATCTCCCAGGTACAGTCCAGGCCAGACCTCATCAGCATGGTTACAGGCTGTCTTCCCCGTGTACAGCAGCCTCTCCAACTCGAAGACACTGAGGATGGGGTGGCTGCCATGGTCTTCTGGAGCCGCTCGGCTGGCTGACCTGGAGCTGCTCCTGGAGAACCTGGACATGAAAGCCATTGGAGCGGCTGTATCCCACAATGCATCCCTGTGGGCTGGTCGAGGCCGGGCCGTGGCCGGGGTGCTGCTTTTGCTGCGGTTGCCACCCACTGTCTTGTCCTGGAAGCAACAGAAGCTATTAGGGAAACCAGCTCCATTTGGAAACATCATCAAATGCTCCCCCATGGGCTTCAGCCCTAGAAACCCTCCCAGATCCAGATGTTTTTCCTGGGGCCAGCAACACCAGGAGATGCCAGATCCAGTAACTCCAGGCTGAGATTCATGGGGCCACTGACACTGGAGTTAGCTGCTGCCTCATCAAAATACCCTTCAAGATGGCAAAGCAGCCAGTTGGCTCTACCAAGCAAGCTCTACCTCATGAGCTTGGTGTAGGGAGCAGGGACTCTCCATCCAGGGGTCCCTGACATGAGGAAAGGGAATCATATTTCATCCTCCCTGCCTAGGAGAGCTTGATAATGCCAGAAGCAAGAAAAGGAGAGAGCAGGGTCATAGAACTCCTCTGCCCCTGGGCACACTCCCCATTTGCCATGTTCCAGCTCTGCCATGTCTAAGCAGTGCCACACCGGCCGGAGTGGCTACCTGTGGTTTTGTATTTAGGGGATGTTGCAGTTGTTCAGCTGCTGCTTTCCCCCTCTGAAGAGACCGCAAAGCTTTTCTGCCAGCACAGTGAGGTCAGTTCAGGAACAGGCTGTGCCAGCCTGTGATCGGAGGAGCTGGCATGCAGTGAGAGCTCTGGGCCAGTTGCCAGGGGCTGGGGCTGGGAGAAAAAGCAGGTGGAAGATTTCATATGGAGCTACGTGGGTCTGGCTGAGCTTTGTCTTGCCACATACCAATAAGAGCAGCCCCATAGCAAGAAGCAATTTTAACCCCTTTTGGGAGCTCTTTTAACCCCTCTGAAAGATCAGGAGGTGACTGGGGAGAGGGAGGCTTCTTAACTGCTGAGCACAAGGAGACTTATTTTAAAGATGACCAGCCAGAGCATGCCGTGCTGTGCTCCAGACCATGCTCCTCCTTCCTCCCACCACCAGCGAGCCTCCCAAGATAATCTCACCCAGACCCAGAAGCTAAGCTTCAGCCGTGGGAACATTTTGCTTGCTTGCTGTTGTCCTCCTGAGCACGGCCAACTAACCGCCACCGTTAATGTACTTTGCCCTCTCCTGCCCCCCAACAGCACTGCCTCAGCTGTCACCCGGAGCGGCTTCAAGTGCTCGGGAGCACGTCCAGCCTGTCACATCCCAGCCCCTCTTCCCATCAGCAGCTCAGCACCGGAGCTAGGAGGGGGAAATGCAGTGACCTTAGATTTACCACTGGGCTGGCTCAAACCATCCATCCACTTGCTGTGACATTCTGTCTCCAGCAATGGCCAGAAGGCAGCAGTCCAGGAGGAAACACTCCCCAGATGCCCACCCAACAGGACAGAGGGGTTGGAAACATTTCAAGGATTCTGTAGATTCAGAGTGGGTCCAGAGACGCCTAAGATATATATGCTCCTTTCTACTATCGCTCCCCAAAGTGGCCTGTTCCAGGTGCAGGATGTTAGATGCTGCCTTGAATATAACTGTGTGGTTTACAGACCGGTCTGTGCTGGAAGAGCAAGCTCAATCCAGCTCTGGCATGGCTCACTGCAGCTGCCACTGAAGGTAACAAGAACCGCCCAAGCATGTGCCATGATCCTTTTTTTGACCCTGCACCAGCTCTGGTGCTGTGCTGAACATTTAACTTGCTGGTTCCAGGAATAAACAAATACCTGGCAAGCCCCTGGGCCAGGACATGGAGGCCAAGACAAGCAACACACTTACTATGTCACCAGTGTCCATCTGCTCAGGACACAGCCAGCCTTGCCTGACCTTGACTGCAACACATCCAAGCCCATGTCCGTGTCCCGTGGATCATAGGAGCGAGCTCAGGAGAAAGAGTCCGATATTTCTCACGGCTCTTAATAGAAGGCTACAAACAGACCGGGGACTGGGTAAGAGGCTGCCAGCCACATCCAGTTTGGGATGTAATTCCCTACCCTCGCGATGCTCAGATACAAGGGGCTTGAGCTGGAAAATGTCACTGGTTGCTACCCAAAAGATGCAAGACAGCAGAGCAGATCCCCGCTCAAAACATCCTTATTCCTGAAACCTCCCAGGTGGTGTGAGACCCACACCCACAGCAAAACATGGAGCAGGCTGCAGCCTGCAATGCCTCACAGGTTCATGGCTGTCTTTGCAGCCCCTGCCAGTCTCACGCTGCACTGGGAGGGAGGAGGAGAGAAGCAGAGAAGCAGAGAGGCAGACAGCCCTGCCTACGCACATGGCTCTGCACAGACATTATCACACTCAAGCAGGCTGCCCAGCCCCACCGAGACAGACAGACAGACACGCAGGAGGGAGACGCCCACCCTCATTACCCTACCTTTACGCAGACGGTGATTTCTCAGTTCAGGGCGAGTATTCTAGTCATATCCCGTCGGCCATGTCTTCATACTGTTGCTGCTGCTGTTGCTGCTGCTGCCGTGGAAAGGCTGATGTATGAACATCTATTTTAAGGGATGACATGTCCAGAGGCAGGTTTGTTTAGATCACACTGCGTGGGTGGGGAGAGAGGAAGAGGAGGGAGACTGGCACAACACACAGCCCCACACACAAACATGCACACCCCCCTCCCCATGCATGTAAATACTCATACACAGCCAGAATAACACTGATCCAAATGCACTCCCATAAATTCCCCCCAACCCCGACGTGCTGTCTCTCTCTCACACACGCCTGTGTGCAACAAGCCACAGAAAGAAAGACACCCATCTGGCTGGCAGCGGTGCTTATTGAAATGATTGTGTGTGCACAGTTTCAACCATTTCGGTTCAGCTCAGTGCTTTTTTCCTTTCAGTTCATCTGGCAGAACTAGCTAGGGGCTAATTCACCCAAAAATGGAGTTTCAGGGAGACTGAAGCAATTTGCAAATTTGGATCAACTTGAGTGAATAGGCACTTCCAAAAAAATGGGAAGAATGTAACAAAATGTCAAAACCTTTCAGCTGGCTCCCACTGTCCCATTTTGAATCTGAAACATTTGATTCTGGCATTTTCAAACCAGAAATTCTCAAACTTTTCTTTGGAAACAGATTTTTTTTTTTTTTTTTTTTTGCTGTTTAAAAAGTGATAGAAATTAAAGTGTAAAAAAGGTAAAAGGTGCCCAAGTGGATCAAAGAGATAGTTTGAGACATGAAATGTTTTGATTCAATTAAACCATATTTTTGGGGAAAAACCCCAGCCATTTTTGTCTGGGTAGGACTTTCTGGATCCTTACAGACACTATCACTAACACTTGTGACCAAATCAATCTGAAATGGAAATATCCTGACTCCGAAATGTACTTGCAACAGCCTGCTGCTGATAGCCTGACTGGTTCCCGAGCCAGTTAACTATCCTCTTACTTTCATTGTTGACTGGAGAGACTATAACACATTTCAACTTTATCACAACTTGTCTCCTGTTGGGTTTTTGGTTTTTTTGGCTGACACTTTTGCCATGTTCATAAATAGTGTTAGTTGCCTCAACTGGAAAAAAATATATATATTTGTTTGATTTTTTTTTTCTCCCAGCTCAGTTGCTAATGGATAATAGAGTTCTTATCATTTAAGGCACGGGTTCAACTCTAATGCATGACAACAGTAACCCTCTGCTCGACTTCTGGGATGTTACTGAAATCAGCTCATGGAGGCAAGGCAAGGTTATGGGCGGGACACAGGACTGGATTCAGGAGAGCTGTGTTTGGTTTCTAACTCTGACACTGAGTTCCTGCATAACATTGGGCATGTCTCACAGTCCGTCTCTGCCTCAGTCTCCAATCTGTACAATAGGGAGAGTAATATTTAATTTGGGAAGATAGATCCATCCATATTTGGGAAATGCTTAGATGCTGCAGCAATTGGGGCCCTATGGCTGTGTCCAGATGTGTGGGGACGTGCACTTGGAGAGATAAAAATAGTAGTGGCACAAATTTGTTCTGCTACTTTTTGCTGCAGCGCACGCCCCAGTATGTGCCGTTTGTTGAGGGACAAATTGTCCCGCTTTGGGCAAACTGACCTTGCCCAGCTCCTTCCGGCTCCCAGCCAGGACACAACTGAAGAAGTGGAGATGGTCTGGCCGGCAGCCACAGTGTCTCCCTGGAGGACCAAGCTCTGCCGGTGCACACTCCTGTCATATGCACCATGCCACATTTTTTTCTGGCGCTTTTTTTTTGCTACCGGGATTTCCCAGTAGCAAATTTGGCCCTGCACTGCATGTTTTAACATTCCCCGCATGTAATATGTGGTGCCACAGATTGGTTTGTGGCACCACAAACTGCATACCCCTGCTCGTCTGGACACAGCTTATAGGTATATGCATGTCTGTTCCTAGTAGACAAGTGTCTGCCAGGAAGAGGGCTAGAAGTATGGTAATCTCAATATAGAAGACCAGAATACTGTGGCAATATTGATTTGCAGTATATAATCCCATCTATGTGATGCCCACATGCATTGAAGACCCTGCTGAATTCATAGATTTTATAGATTTCATAGACATTAGGGGCTGGAAGGGACCTCATGAGATCATTGGGTCCAGCCCGCCCCTGCACCATAGGCAGGAAATCAGCTGGGATCGAGTGACCCCAGCAAGAAATATATCCACCTATTTTTTGAAAGAGTCCAGAGTAGGTGCTTGCACCACCTCCGGGGGGAGTTTGTTTCAGACCCTGGACACATGCACCATAAAGAATATTTTTCTTATGTCTAGTCTAAATCAGCCTTCCTGGAGTTTATGGCTGTTAGACCTTGTTATCCCTTGGGGAGCTCTGGTGATCAGCTGTTGTTCCAGGTCCTGATGTACCCCCCTTATGTAATTGTAGGCTGCCACCAAGTCCCCCCTGAGCCTTTTCTTCTCCAGACTGAAGAGTCCCAAGTCCCTCAGCCTCTCCTCATATGGCCTTCCCTCCTGGCCTTGGATCACATGAGCCTTTATTTCATAGACATTAGGGCTGGAGGGGACCTCAGAAGATCATCGAGTCCAGCCTCCTTCCCCAGAAGCAGGAAGTCAGCTGGGGTCAAAAGATCCCAGCAAGATAGGCATCAAAATGTTTCTTAAAAGAGTCCAGAGTAGGTGCTTGCACCACCTCTCAGAGGAGTCTATTCCAAGCCTTGGGGGCTCAGACAGTAAAGAAGTTTTTCCTTATGTCCAGTCTAAAATGGTCTTGCAGGAGTTTGTGACCATTGGACCTTGTTGTCCCCTGGTGAACAGGTGTTCCCCCAGATCCTGATGCACACCCCTATGTACCTATAGGCAGCCACTAAGTCCCCCCTGAGCCTGCACTTTTCCAGGCTGAAGACTCCCATGGCTCTCAGCCTCTCATCATAAGGCCTGTTTTCCTGCCCTCTGATCATGTGCGTGGCTGTCGTCTGGACTCTCTCAAGCTTTTCCACATCCTTTTTAAATTGTGGAGCCAAAACTGGATGCAGTACTCCAGCTGCGGCCTCACCAAGGAGTCAAGGACAGATCTCAAGCAACGTAGAAGGATGTTTGTTCACAGCTGTTTCATGGAAATGACATGTCTTTCTGTGTCAGGGCTGTGCTGCCATATATCACAGTAGAGTTGGAAATTCTCATTCATGCCTGGAGATGCTCCTTCACCTCTCAGAGAAATACTGGCTGAGCATTGTAAGGGAAGCGTGCACTTTTGCTGCCCTGGGGTGTCTCTTTAGTATGGATAAAGGGAGGCCTTCACTCTCCTTGGCCACCAACGCAGTACATTTCCAGTTGCATGCAGTTCAGTTTTAAAAAGAAATGTCTCTACTGCCCATCACTCAAGTGTAAACCCAAAGAAAAAGGAATCTCAGAAATAAAATTAGGTGGATAAATGCTTTGGCTGAATGCTGCCTGCAGGGCACTTCCTGGTCATTTTAAATGGGAGGATTTTCATTCTGCATGTTTTTAAACCAGTGATAATAATGGAGACGCTTTGAAAAGTAGCCAAAAGTCTGCAGCACAGCTAACGACTGCCTCTCGGATAATGAAATCTTCAGGCGTTTTGAAATGCCTGGGCAGCCTCAGAGACTGAAAATGTCAACAAGCTGTCACTTGACGAAGTTAAGGGAAGTCACTTAAATATGAAAACAGAGCTATCTGCATGCCCCGCCACCCCCATACCCTTCACTGATCCCTGAGCTGCAGCAGAAAAGGATTTGGTCCCTTATTCCCCAGTGGGTTATTTATTTTCTTATCCCCTCCAGTGCTTCCCCACTGTGCCTGCTGTGCCCCTTCCCAGTTCAGCCCTGCGTGCTGACCACTGAAGGATATGGAGCTGACCCCACACCTATCTGTTTCCATGGGACACATGCAGCCCTGGACCAGGAAGGGCTGCAGCAGCACTGGGTGCTGCTTAGGATGGATCAGATAACCCTAGTGTAGGCATGGGTCCTGCCACAGCTCTAAGCAGCACAACTAGGGTGGGGATAGGGGATGCCCCTGGTACCAGTTTGTAGGAGGCACCAGAATGGACCAGTAGCTGCCACCAGGCAGCAACAGCCCCAGTGTGCAGGGAGCTAACCCTAGCAGCAGCGGTTGCTATCAGGTAAGGCCCACCCCTTCTGGCCCTGGTCCCCATCCAGCTGCTTTCAGGTGCTTGACACAGCACCCCCATTCTTACCCCATTTTCTCCTGGGCTGCAAAAAGTAATAGTAGTAGTAATCACTTTGGATACTAAATTCCTCTCCCTGGTGTTTTGATGGATGCTGGGGGGAAAAGGCAGGAGGGTGCTACAGAATCCAGTATCCACTACCAGCTGGAAGGTTGTCTTCACAACACCGCAGCCACACTGGACTACATTCCCGCTTGATTGATGTAATTTAGCACAGTCAGTACGAGCTGCACTAGGGATGAAGAGGGACTTGCTGCCGATGCTCGTACATGCTTCCTGGAAAGAGGAAAGGACTCCATAGCTGTCCAGTGCTACTTAGGTCTTGCTCAGGAGCCCTGCTTGGATGCATCACAAGAGCTTTCTCAAATTGTTTCAGATTTTAATAGTACTAAATAGTACCAAGGAGAATGAGGGGAGTCTGTGTCCCCTCTGCCCCAAAATCTACCAGGATGTTAAGGCTGGAAAGCAGTACCGAGGATGCCTCTGGCCCAGGCTGGCCTCCTTCTGCTCTACCGGCACTGCTCATCTTGCTTCAGTTTCCCCAGAAATCTTTATTCTTCTTTACACAAGGCTTCAAGATAAACTCAGAAATACAGCAGCCTTTCTCAGGGCTAACCAGGCAAGACACATGTAGCAAATTTAAGTGATAACCCCCAAAGGAAACTGTAACAGGGGACCCAGACCTTGTTCCTCAGGCACAGTGGAGGAGGAGGATTAGGGAACATGCCCTTGTTGGGACCCAGGTTGTGGGGGCTGCTGAAGTATGACTGGAAGGGGGAGGAAAATCCAACCAGCCCACATGGGGCATATGCAAAAGCGACCCACATGAAGGTGGGAGAGATCAGGCAGACAGTATTAAGGCGGCCATGAAAGGGGTGTCACAGCAACCCTATTACAGAAACATTAAAGAAAAAGG